CGGTCTTGACAGTGATAGGAGAACAGAACCCATCAGTCGCTGCCTATTCTAGCATTAAGCTCGGTAGACAGACAAGTGACTGGACATGGGTCAAATGATGTCTAACTTTCTTCCTATTGGCATTTCGCTTTACAAACTGTTCAGATGGAAGCCCTGACAAATCACCCTTGCTGAGTTGGAGTAATGAAACCTAGCAGGACAAATGGGAAGTTTTGGCAGAAGGAAAACAATGACTGGATTGCAGTGGATATGGCTGGGATTGAGAGAAACAGGGCACAGTAAACAACGTACAGAGGTCAGGACAGGAGCAAATTCTGCTAAATAGATAAGTACATAGAAAGTTGAGCATGTACACACACACACATTCCACAAAAAACACGTAGACCCTGTAAGCTTTGAAAGAATGCAGTTGCGGTTGACATAATTCGGGTTGGGTATTTCTGTCCTTCGTTTACAGCCGTAATGCTTTCAAATGTGAATTATTGATTTGGACTTGCAATTCTAAGTACGCTTTCCAGAAAGGAAGTCAAAGCAAGAAACTTATTTCTAAGTGAATACATTTAGGGCAGGAGCAGGGATGCTTAAGCACCATTCCTCAGGAAATCTTACTACCTTGCAAGATTCAAAAGTAACCCCTGCTGAGTTCAACGGGACATGCTTCCAAGTTAGTGCATCTAGGATTGCAGAATTGCCTTTCCTTCAAACGCCTTGATGTATTGCCCAAGCAATTTGAGTTCTGCTTTAAGCTAATCCTGGTGGTAACCTAGGAGTTTCTGCAAACACATACTATGAATTCATAAACGTTGATGAGTCTCATTTACATTTCGCAGCACATCATAGCTGTTCTGTCTGATTAGAAAACTGTACATTTGACTATAAAACTTTCCTTTAGGTCAAATGAAGTCACAATGTGAGAATGACCAAATGTAACTGAGAAATGAAGTATTTTGATGGGGGAATCAAATAATTATTCCTACATTTTAAAGGCCACTTGTGTTGTTGTTCATTCATTCAGTCGTTTCCAACTCTTCGTGACCTCATGGACCAGCCCATGCCAGAGCTCCCTGCTGGCCATCACCACCCCCAGCTCCTCCAAGGTCAGTCCAGTCATTTCAAGGATGCCATCCATCCATCTTGCCCTAGGTCAGCCCCTCTTCCTTTTTTCTTCCATTTTCCCCAGCATCGTTGTCTTCTCTAAGCTTTCCTTTCTTCTCATGATGTGGCCAAAGTACTTCATCTTTGCCTCTAATATCCTTCCCTCCAGTGAGCAGTTGGGTTTTATTTCCTGAAGTATGGACTGGTTGGATCTTCAAGGATCTTCAAGCACCACAGTTCAAAAGCATCTATCTTCCTTCACTCAGCCTTCCTTATGGTCCAGCTCTCATATCTGTAGGTGACTACAGGGAATACAATTGCTTTGACTATGCGTATCTTCGTTGCCAATCTTATCGAGATTAGACATTGCTCTCCTCCCAAGAAGTAAGCATCTCCTGATTTTCTGGCCACAGTCTGCATCTGCAGTAATCTTTGCACCTAGAAATACAAAGTCTGTCACTGCATCCACATTTTTCTCCCTCTATTTCCCAGTTGTCAATCATTCTTGTTGCCATAATCTTGGTTTTTTTTATGTTTAGCTGCAACCCAGCTTTTGCGCTTTCTTCTTTAACCTTGATTAAAAGGCTCCTCAGCTCCTCCTTGCTTTCAGCCATCAAAGTGGTGTCATCTGCATATCTACATTTAGATATGCATATCAGGAGACACTTAATTCAAAGAAATAGTTCCTACAGCCTTCATGGAAAAACTAAAGAACACCTTTCAGCTTGGCAGATCTACAGGAACCTTGCCTGGTAAGGGACCACTCGGGCTATCCATAAAGCAGCTTGGAGCCGGGAGTAGGGGTTTCACGCCAGCAAGGTAAAGAGAGATTGCCCAGGGAAGGGTCAAAGGATTTCCCTAAGGAAGAAAGGAACAGTTTACCACCAGTTACCTGCCCCTTGTTGGCGGATTGAGAAAGCGACCGGTTTTCCAAGGTTATAAAGTGTTTAATTCATTTGTTTGAAGATTTAAGCCCAAATAAAGAACTTTGTTGAACTTATTTTGAGCCTCAATAGAACTTTGTGTTGGGAAATCTAAGGGGCCCTTCAGCTGAGGCACCCTGGCGTCCCGTTGGGCATACAGAGAGCACGTCCTGTAAACAGACATTCTTTCAGGCCCACACTGCCTTCTAGGTGGTCCAGAGGCCCAAGTCAAAACATTGTATTTATCTATAGTCCTAAATAGTTTTGACTAGCTAAGGGCTGTCTTCTCCCATTTGCACCCATAGTCATATAGATTGTTGAGTTCAAATGTTGCCACCAGTTTAATTCAATGTTGTTATTGATCTTATTTTGTTCGTTCTATACAGCTACCACACATGGGTGAGAAATGGCGCTATATAGTTTGAGCTGAATAAATGAAGAAGAACACTTTTCTCCCCTAAATGCTGAGGTATGCTCTCTATTTGCTGTTCAAAACAAAGCCTCGTCTCCTTTGCCAGTGAGTCTAAAATATCAGGGCAGGGAACAGCCGACGTTCTAAACGCATGCAAAAGATCATGAAAGTGATCAAACGTAAAAACTGTTTAAAGTAAACGTGAACATTTTTTCAAATGTAATCCAGATATTCAGCTAATTTAAAATCCCACTGAAGTGCAAAGGATGGCTTTAAATATTTCATCACAGAGCAAGCAAGCCAACTCCTTAGACGTTTTGGCTGCACTGCCTAATATGTGTAAAAATATCATATGCACAAAACTAAGGGAAGGGATGTCTTACTGTCCGTGTAGCTGATCTATAAACATTGAATTCCTACAAGGGCAGCCTCTTCTGTCCTGAATGTCAACACCTACACTGTTGAATTTCAGGTTTAGTTTTGATTTAACAGAAATATCGCAGCATCTTGTCCCATTCTTTCTTCTGTTGGGAGTGTTTTGATTATGTATTCTTGCGAGGAACAGGACTGGATGACCCCTTTGGTCTCTTCCAGCGATGGGATTTTATGTCATACTACGGTATATTTTTAATTACTGTGCAGAATTTGCCGTGTACTATTTAATTAAAGCACAATAACAGACTTTCCTGATCTTTAAAATATTATGTTATCCATCTTGTTTCCTGCATATGTCATCAGTTGGGGATCCCTCCCCCCAGAACCGACTGCCGCTCTGGGCCAGAGGTAAGAGAGAGGGGGGCAGAGGACAGTTCCATCTTGTCTCCTGCATATGTCATCAGCTGGGGACCCCTCCCCCCAGCACCAACTGCCGCTCTGGGCCAGAGTGAAGAGAGGGGGGGCAGGGGACAGTTCCATCTTGTCTCCTGCATATGTCATCAGTTGGGGACCCCTCCCCCCAGCACCAACTGCCGCTCTGGGCCAGAGTGAGAGAGAGAGGGGGCCAGGGGACAGTTCCATCTTGTCTCCTGCATATGTCATCAGTGGGGACCCCTCCCCCCAGCACCAAATGCCGCTCTGGGCCAGAGTGGAGAGAGAGGGGGCCAGGGGACAGTTCCATCTTGTCTCCTGCATATGTCATCAGTTGGAGATCCCTACCCCCAGCACCAACTGTCGCTCTGGGCCAGAGTGAAGAGAGAGGGGGCCAGGGGACAGTTCCATCTTGTCTCCTGCATATGTCATCAGTTGGGGATCCCTCCCCCCAGCACCAACTGCCGCTCTGGGCCAGAGTGAAGAGAGAGGGGGCCAGGGGACAGTTCCATCTTGTCTCCTGCATATGTCATCAGTTTGGGACCCCTCCACGCCAGGGGTCAGTTCCCCTTTAGCAACAGGCTAATATAATATAATGAAATATAATATATTGTATATACATATAATATTTATAATATTATAATGTAATACAATATACTACTACTAATAATAATATATTATAATTATATATTTTATATTACATGTAATATTACTAATAATATTACAATATAATGGTATAGTACAATATAGTAATATTTAATACTGATATTGTATCATGCTAATAATATAATATAGTCCAGTCTGTTTTTTTTCATTGGTCTTCCATATGAGTCTTTTAGTGCAAAGGACTGGAAGTTATTTGAGGAATATATACTAGCACATAAAATTAGACATGACATAAAATAAGACGATGAAGCAATCTCAGAAGAAAGGAAGACGAAAAAAATACAGAACCAGAGAGAAGTAGATTGAGGAAGTCAGAAACCCCCATCACAATTCTCATCCCCCCGCATCCCCTCCCTCCCCAGATTCCTTGCTTCCTTTCCCTTGTCCCAAGCAACCCTTTTCACAGCCAACACTAACCCTGAACCGGACCCCTTTCTTAGCCTCCCCCCAACCCCCCCTCCTCCCTACTTTTCCCTACCTTCAATCCAAAAATCTCTAATTTTTACCTATACAACTGTAAGAATATTCCTTAATAAAATTATTTTAAAAAGTAATATAATATATTGTATGTATATATATCTTGTAAGCCACTCTGAGTCCCCTTCGGGGTGAGAAGGGCAGCATATAAATATCGTAAATAAATAAATAAATAAATGTTAAGTCTAATCCAAGCATAATCCCCCCTCAAATCCCAATGCTGTCTGAGCATAAGATAACATTATGCTCTTCCTCCTTCTTCCTTGCTACATGCCACATATAAAAGCAACCTGAAGGTAGTTGATCTCACACATGGGTGGGACCTTACATATCATCACTGTCAAACCAGTACCACCAAAATGAGATAAAATATCAAGCAGAGTGGACTTCAAGTGAACACTGAACTCTGGCATCTGGGCTGGAAGAAGAGATGAAGGACAAATTCATGTAAAGAAGGTAGTTTGACTGTCAGTTCTGCTGGAACAGGATAGTATAAGGGGATCAGGAAGGTTGAGTAGTACACACAATTATATTGTTTGAAACAAGGGAGGAACTGTGGTTAATAAGCAAGAAGCATGACACAAGCATCATGAAAATAATGTTTAAATACGAGTACCTACCTAAACTGAATAGCACCAAGAATTTGAGACACACGAACTCTCGTAGATCAAACTGCAGGGATCGTAGTTTTGCTACCAGCTCCTGTGCATGGCTCATTAAGTTGTTGAGAGTGGCTCCAGCTTGAGATGCAATTACTGAGTAATCCACCTGTTAGAAGAGTATCAGATGGACCATAAGAACCAGGTACATCATCATCGTCTCACATTTGTTTCCCCATTTTGTTATTTGATGTAGTGTTAAAAGGGTTGATTTGCAATGATCTGAACATACTTGTGTTTAAACAAATTGATGTAGACTTTCTACAACGGATAACTGTTGCGTGTGCTTGAGTGATGTGTGTGTGTCTGTGAGTGCAGTTTTATAAATGCCTTGTAAGATTGTCATTTTAATCAAGATGTTGTCCCGCCACCATTTATTTATTCATATTTCCCCTTTCTTTTGGCAAGGAAAAGTTCTTATTTAGTAGACATTAGGCATATTAAATTCAACATATTTGATATCATGCTTAGGTCCACTTACCTGACAGTGAAAGTTTGGTTTACCCATTAGGTGGAGTCAGAGGGCTGCCTCAGACGGCAAATCGGAGGTGTTGTTACACTACAATGATTGCATTATTACTGTCAAAATGGGAAAAGGGGCTTTCAGGATTTTTTGTCCCACTATACATTTTTTTGTATCTACTTTAAAGAAATGAAGTACATTCTGCCAGACATCTTGGGGTGTTCTACGAGGGGTATTTTTTAAGTAAGGTCTGTTTTATTGTAGACACTAGTAGTTCGTGTGCATACCGCAACGAGCACATGCGTCGTGTACCGGCATGCCTCGGGAACAACTGTGCTCAGTTTCCGCTCTGTAGCTAACCTGTACGGTTTTGTTCTGTGCTTTAAAATGTTTAAGACTATTAACTCGCCCTCCGCATGTGAGGTTCGCTCAGTGATACGGTTTTTGTCAGCAAGGAACCTGCCTGCTGCAGAAATTCATCGACAGATTTGTGAAGTGTACGGTGATACTGTTATGAGTGAAAGCAAAGTGTGTAAGTGGGTACGACAATTCAAAGATGGCCGTGACAACGTCCATGATGAGGACCGCTCCGGTCGCCCTTCTTTGATTACAGACGATTTGATTTGATCGCACACTCAAATCTTTGGTTTTTGTGGTCCTCTGTTAGGAGTTTCGGGACCCAACGGGAGCACAGTTTCCTAAACTTTAGGTGTTCAGAAACAATGTTGTAAAGCACTGATCTCGACACATCAGGAAATTCGTTTGAGAGACCTGTTATTGTGAAGCGCCTGTTCTCACGAATCCTCACTTCAACTGAAGCCACCAAATAGTCTGTAATCAAAGAAGGGCGACCGGAGCGGTCCTCATCATGGATGTTGTCACGGCCATCTTTGAATTGTCATACCCACTTACGCACTTTGCTTTCACTCATAACAGTATCACCGTACACTTCACAAATCTGTCGATGAATTTCTGCAGCAGGCAGGTTCCTTGCTGACAAAAACCGTATCACTGAGCGAACCTCACATGCGGCGGGTGAGTTGATAGTCTTAAACATTTTTAAAGTACAGAACAGAACCGTACAGGTTAGCTACAGAGTGGAAACTGAGCACAGTTGTTCCTGAGGCATGCCGGTACACAACACACGTGCTCGTTGCGGTATGCGCGTGAACTACTAGTGTCTACAACAAAACGGACCTTACTTTAAAAAATACCCCTCGTATGTTTAATATATCAGGACTCACTACATTTTAGCCTCAAAGATAAAACATTACAAATAATCCATCTATGATATCTTGAAGTACTGATGAAGTCTTTTGGCCGCATAATGAAAAGACAGGAAAGCTTGGAGAAGACAATAATGCTGGGGAAAATAGAAGGAAAAAGGAAGAGGGGCCGACCAAGGGCAAGATGGATGGATGGTATCCTTGAAGTGACTAGCTTGACTTCGAAGAAACTGGGGGAGGCCACAGCTGACATGGAGCTCTGACGTGGGCTGGTCCATGATGTCACGAAGAGTCGGAAGTGACTGAATGAATAAACAACAACAATATGATATCTTGAGTTATAACTACAGCTCCACCTACACTGTAAGATAAAATCCAGATTATCTGCATTGAACTGGATTATATGGCAGTGTAGACTAATATATGGTCTTTTCCCCCAAATTCCAAAAATTGCTTTTGAAATGTGGTCTTTGAAGTCATAGTCCAGTTCTCAAACAACTAAAACAGATTGGCTGGAGTGATAATAGTTACCCCAAGTTTTAGGATTATACTTTTAGATGTGGAGTATCTTCAATCTCGGTTTTTCTCTGCAGTGTACAAATTACAAGAATACTCAACGTGTAACACAAATAAATTACAACTGTGGAAAATGCCATTTGCAACCTCAGACCAGGAAATTAACCATCTTATTGTTATGGAACAGCCTGATTGCTGCAAAGACATCTCATTCACAGCCAAATTTCCCCTCTGCGATTTGTTGGGGAAAGTGTGTGTGTATGGGAAAGGGGGAATCCCTTGGAGAGGCAACCAATTGCAGTTTCTGGAAGGGAGAAAGGATGATCTTTGCTTCATAATAATAAGTTAAGATGTTCAGATGGATCTCATGAATATCCGTCGTGCTTGTTCTACCGCGATAATAACATAATGGGAAACCCCAATAGGTAGATTCTCCTACCCTCCCTACTATTGGAGGGCTCTCGGGCAACTAGTTCCTCTTTCAGAGGCATTTAATATTTGCAGAACCAGCAAATTTGTCTGGGAGGCAAGTCTTCATCTGCCACTCACACCGAGCCGACTGTATTAAATTTTTATATTTATTGACATTTCATTACCATAATTGACTGCACTTGGTTCCCTAGTAGACGGCACAGGGATGCCTCCTAAGCAGGAGAATTGGTCCCTGGAGTCGGATTTGCAATTAAAAACAAGGCAGAATGGATTTTTTTTATTGTGTAAATATGATGAGTTGAATTTTCAGCTTTAGCTGGAGAATACAGAGCACCAAGGAAACCTTTTTCACGAGTGAGCAAAATTATGAGTCAGTGGAAAGACGACCCCCAAAGGTGTCAATCAGTTTATATAAACTCAACTGTGCATGAAAAAGCCCCAGCTAATGTATCTTCAAGAGGAGCTGCTGGGGTGGGGGTACTGCGCTTATTAAAGTGAATATTATCATCTGTGCTTAGTCTATGGGGTAGGTGATTCTGAAAGGAGGAAATGGGGAACTAATACAATGCTTTGAAATCCTGGGAGAAAATATAGACTGGGTTTTTGTTGAGATTAATTTCACAATTCAGCAGCAGATCAGTTGCACAACTTCAGCGCTTTCCAGTAGCTTCTTCCTGCACAGTATTTTCAGTCAACTGCTCCCACAAACTGCAGTCACTCTGGAACTCTTTTACAGACACTTGAGCACATGCCTGGCCATTGTCAGTTTTACTATTGTTTTCCTCTCCAATCTAGATGACACTACAAACTTACCACAGCACACAGTTATATCTTGTCTTAGCAGACAGGTTCCTTTAAAACATTACACAGAGCCTTCGGCAAACAGCATCACAGCACAAGGAGAGAAATATACACTGTACATGACTTCCTTATATACAATTCATTTACACATAGCAATCACTGATTGGTTCCCAACTCATTGACTTAACTCAAACTCAGGATTGCATCATTCACAATCACCTGGACTAGGCCAGAAAACATTCCCCAAATGATCCCCTATATACAGTTAATGCATGACTCAGCCTTTCCAATAGAAACCTATTAGCAATGCATGACTCAGCTATATTACATTACAATACAAAACCTGACAGTTTTGATGCCAGATTTGACCTGCTGAAAGCTATTATCCAGATATTTAAGACCATATTCTTTACAGGACTTCTTAAAAAGTAATGTCTGAGATGATGTGATGGTGATCACTAGTGTTTGTTATCTTCCACTTCCTCCTCATAATCAAGATAAGGAAAGTTCAAGCATGACCTACACAAAGTACCATGTGGCACTCTTAATCCATTTAGGTAGTTGTTGTTATTGTTGTGTGCAGGGGCGGCTCAACCCATTACGCAAAGTAAGCATTTGCAGTATAGTTGATTTTGTCCAGGGACGCTCTTGAGGCACTTTTGGGGGAAAATAGACCTTGACATATGCGAGTTGTAGTTATGTATAGTTCACCTACAATCAAAGAGCATTCTGAACTCCACCAATGAAGGAATTGAACCAAATATGACACACAGAACTCCCACGACGAACAGAAAATATATATCAGTGATTGGATTGGGGGGGACGGGACGGGACGAGGACGCCAAAATACTGTTTGCTTACCGTTGAAAATTGCCTAGGGCTACCTCTGGTTGTGTGCCTCTAACTTATGGTGACTTTAAGAACATTGGGGGAGGGGGTCTGGGTAGAATTTGTTCAGAGAAGGATATCCCTTGCTTTCCTCTGAGGCTAAGGGCACTTCCAGACAGTGCCAAGATCTGCACCAAAGTGGGTTTAAGAAATCTGCTTTGGTGTGGATTCCCATCCCTACCCCCCCCCCCCCCCCCCCCCCCCCAAAAAAAAAAAACCCTTGGGTTTTCCTGGGAGGTTGTCTATATGCCATCCTGGTAACTACTGGGATGGCATATATCAACCCTGAAACCCCCCAAAACAACCCTTAAAACAGTGGTTCTAACCTTCCTAATGCCGTGACCCCTTAATACAGTCCCTCATGTTGTGGTGAACCCCAACCATAACGTTGTTTTTGTTGCTACTTCATAACAGTCATTTTACTACTGTTATAAATCATAATGTAAATATTAGATATGCAAGATGTATTTTCATTCACTGGACCAAACTGGGCACAAACACCCAATGCACCCACATGTAAATGCTAGTGGGGTTGGGGGAGGATTGATTTTGTAATTTGGGAGTTGTAGTTGCTGGGATTTATAGTTCACCTATAATCGAAGAGCATTCTGAACTCCATCAACGATTGAATTGAACTAAATTTGGCACACAGAACTCCCATGACCAACAGAAAATACTGGAAGGGTTTGGTGGGCATTGACTTTGAGTTTGGGAGTTGTAGTTCACCTATATCCAGAGAGCACTGTGGACTCACGCAATGGTGAATCTGGACCAAACTTGGCA